TACGTTCAATGATCCGGGCAAGGCAGATGCTCATGCTGCGAGGACGATGATTGGAAGGAATGGGCTACCGAAGGACTTTGCAGGTGTTGCGGTTTGGTTGGCAAGTGATGCTAGTGCTGCTGTGACGGGGCAGACTATCTTTGTTGATGGAGGGTATTCGTCCACGTGATAACCAGTTGAGGATTGGCTTGAGGTATGATACCACGGACAAGAGAAGACTGGCAAGATTGTACAGCTCCGATAGATATAGAGGCTTTCACTACATACTATACTCGACTCATACATACATCCTCATTTGCCATGTTATGCCTCACCAACCAACGCATGCCTATGCCCTCTGATCTGCCTCTTATGCAACGCCCTAATAGTAAACGCAATACCAATCAACCCCACTGCCATCCCAACCATAGTAGGATACCCCTTAGGGTAACTCGGCGCCTCAACCTGCTGCCATATGATCAATGGCAACCACGCCTGAAACACATACGCCATCTGATTCATTGCCCCCGTAACGAGCGCCCTCTCCTCGTTATCGTCACTGCAAATCTCATGCGCCCACGCAAACGTAAGTCCACTGATCCCGCCCCCAAAACCACAGAGCATGAAGCATACCCACGTAAACGGCGTCGGGACTTTCCAGACTGTGAGCCCGACGTAGGCTATTATCTTGACCAAGCCGGAGAATACGATGGCGGGCCAGCGTGCGCCGCGGAAGAGGCTGTCTGATGTCCAGGCGTAGATGAGCGTTGTTATGACGCTGATTACTTCGACGATGGTGGGGTAGAGGTTTACGTCGCGGATGGAGTAGCCTTCTGATTTGAGCCAGAGAGGAAAAGCGGGCTGGGAATTTCCGCCGTTGCCGTTGTTGAAGAGGATGTACAAGAGGACCAAGGTGTAAATATGCCAGCTTGTGAAGATCTTTTTGAACTTGGCCTTTGTGTAGGGTGATCGTTGGGCTCGACCTTCAAGTTCCATGCGTTTCTTTGCCAGCGCGATGTCCTCTGGCGTGAAGTACCATGCTCTCGTAATCTCAGGCAAGTCAGGTAGGAAGAAGAAACCTGATATGGCGATGGGGAGAGACACGACTGTGTTGGTGATGAAAAGCCACTGCCAGCCTTGATACCCATGGACGCCATCGAGGTTATGCGAGCCAGCCATGAGATAGCCTGAGACCATGGATCCAACGTTACCCATGGCGTGGAAGAGACATGAGCGCTTCGCAAGTTCGTCTTTGCGATACCATGATCCAACAATGTATTGCATCCCCGGGTAGAAGGTACTCTCAGCGAGACCGATGAAGAAACGAAGGACGTAGAGTTGAGTGGCGTTTGTGCATTTTGTGAGGAGGATCGTCAGGACGGACCAAGTCACTTCGCAGGCGGGGATCCAGATACTTGGTCGAATGCGCGTCAATAACATGTTACTGAGCAGTTAGTATACCATTAAAAGTGATGGGGGAGGAGAAAGTTACCTTGGGATCTCGCCGATGACATACCCAACAGTCCAGCATGTTTGCATATAGTTCAACTCATTGCCGAACAGATTCATGTCTTCTTTCATCCCAGAAACAAACGCATTGTTGATGTTGACCTATCTCGTCAGTCTCATTACATAACCACCGCCGAGACTCACATACCTGATCCAAGTACTTAATAAAGTAACCCAACGACGCCAATGTCATAAGAGCAGCATCGAGCTTGAACAAGAACTTGCGCTCTTCAGGCGATTTGTCAAACGTATCCCATATGTACGACTTCCAGCTCCTCTTTGGCGTTTCTTGTAGAACAGCTACAACCGGTGCATCTGAGTCCGAGCCTGGAATAGGCTCCGGTGTGCCGTGGACCTTCTCGGTAGAGACTTCTTTGCTACTGTCTGCCATGTTGATTGTGTACTCGGGAATGGGGTAGGGATGAAGGTGGTGGCTGGTCCGGGAGAAAACCTTCTTTTAAGCTTATTTTCGCGGATGGGAATACGACCTTAATTCCCGCCGGGGATTTGTCCCCCGCGAGATCGTGATTTACTACTTTTAGTAATCTTGTCGCGGTGTAACCGATGTAGCATCCTGCGTGGCGAGCGGGATGCATGAACAGTATGCTATAACCAACCCAATCACCGAACGAACAATGTACTGCTCATTCTGCACATCAATGGCGTCAGCGTCTTTTCTATTAGTATATTTCCGAAATTACTCAGATCAGCGTTGATAAGACCAAGAGCAGGAGTCATGCATCCGCGATTGTAACGTCGGGGTAGGTTGGTGATTCGCTAGCTGCGGTGACGTGACCAACACCTGGTATGTGGTGATCATCCAGTTCAGCATCTTACTTCCGGGCAACAGAACAGCATCCGAGATAAAGCCATAACCTTGTTGCGTTGATGAAATCCTTTGAAAGGAGTTAATACTTAGAATGCCATTCTGTTACTCTTTATCTTACAACAAGTTCATTCGGTAGGAACGTGCTTCTGGATATTTGGCTTATCCAGCCGCTCTGCCAAGAAATCACTACCATTTACGAAAGTATGAGTACCAGTGTCAATGCATTACCAGTAAACTGCTCAGACATATTCAACTTGTGGCAATTTGTATCATTGGTGGCCGTGGAAGTCGTACAGGTTAGGCAGCTTTGTGTTGACCCGAACCGTGTTCTCAAATCGCCCTGACCAACGTTAATAGTGCATTTGCAAAGCAGTGATCTCTCGTCATAAGACAAGGCGAATGCAACTATGAAGTTTATATCGTGCTATCTTAGTTATGGCGACGATGAAAGCTTGGTCATCGTGTCTGGGAAAGTAAATTGAGATGGGTATAGTCACTGAATTACTCATCAAAGATAAAAACTAGAGTATAATGCAGCACACCGAGCCCATGCCTCCAAAGAAGACAACCAATAACTGACATACGTTCTGGAAGTTCCTACAATATAGAAAGACTCTGACACCTTTCTTATGCGTGGAATCCAGGCCTATGACCTATCCGACTTAGAACACCCAAGTTCACAATGGAAACGCTATCCTCAACGAACGCTCATCTGCCGCAAGAAATCATTGCCAGATACAACCGTCACAAGTTTCAACCGCTACATCAAAGCGACAGCTGTATCCCACTCAAGCCTCTGTAAGCCCCCCAGTCACCTTCAAAATATTCCAGTGGAGCAAGTCTCGTGTCGCAATCGCATCCTCAAGGCTATCATGACCTCTCCCCTGCTGTATGGCCCGGCCCAATCGCTCCTCCGCCAACTTCTTCAGCGAAAGCCCAGTCTTCTTGTCATCATTGTCACGCTCGACAACAAGGGTGTCGACAAGTCGGGGATGAATCCATCGCAGTGAAGTAAGATCTGATTGGACACCATGGCCAATGACGATTGTTTCCGGGCTCACGAACTTCCAGACCAAAGACCGGGCGTTCTTCCAGCCAAACACGCACTTTCGCTTGTTCCGCGCTTCGTTCATCATCTTCCATGTTACGCCTGACCACTTGGTGTTCAAGTGCTGCATTGGAACATCAGGCCAGACGAATTTGTCGATCAGAACATCGCTGGAGAAATAGTCGATAAGAGTCAGGCGGATCAACTCATTGTCACCAGATGCGGCAGTTCCCATTTCGCAGTCAATTACGACAGCTTTGCGTGTCTCCTTTGTCGTGGTAGATGGCGTTGCGGAGTACTGCCAGCGACTGGAAATCTCTTTGAGGGTACGTTGTTCAGGTTTGTGTTCATCCTCTTCCTTGCAAGGAGGGCCCATCACATGCTGGTCACAACAAGTCCACTTCTGTCATGGCTGTTAGTGAGCCCTGTTTATTACTGAGGACTTCAGAGCTGCTACCTTGTTGACAAGCTTCCCGTCATGAAACTTGCAGAGCGCAGCTGGTTTGCTCGGCTCTTTCAGCTGCAATTGATCCATCCGAATTGCATCAACCTCGTCCGTGACCTTGCTCTGCAGGGAATTTGGATCAGTCGAAGGCACGGACTGTTTTGCGAGAAATGCCTTTTGTCGACTTCTTCTTCTTTCTTCCTTGATAAGTACTGGACATGTCAGATCATATCTCTGGGATCAGATCAATGGATTCTTACAAATGTTGCATCTCGCACAACGTCGCTTTTTCTCGAGGTCGGCCTCTGACAGGCGGGTTGTCACAAAGCCTTTTGACGATAGAGATTCTGTTGAATGGACGAGTCCGAAAAGAGAGTCCAGATAAGATGGCTGGTCCAACATTAATGTGCTCAAAGGCGCGATGGGGTTCTCCATGATGGAGCCGATGAGGTTGAGAGAGTAAACGAGGCAAGAACGTCAACAAAAAAGTTGAACGTCAACAAAAAAGTATACGATAAAGTTAATGGAAGAATAAAGGCTAGAAGAGATGTCTCGTTGTGTCTTGGTGTGATGTTGAAGGGAAGAGGTAAGAGAAGCAACTGCGGGGCCTCAAGTTTAGTTTGACCGTCTTGAGGGGCAGTCTGCGGCGTAGTTCCAGCAGTGGGGCCCAGATTCAACTGCAGTAGGGCCAGTGCCACTGGAACTTACAGTCGTTGAATGTTAGACGTGGCAATGAAGGGAAGCTACTATCGAAAGCGAAACTCAAAATTCAGACAGGAAAGAAACGCAGTTGAAAGTAGAAAATAACAGACAGGTCAAACAATTTCTGGCGCTGGTCTAGGGCCAGAGGCCAATCGAGTCTATCTGCATTGGGTGATAAATGAGGCCTCCCTTGGCTGCCTGCAGGCTGTGCTGGATCCATCGCAGAAGCCTGTTGAGTGGAGGTTCATATTGTGGGAGAGGGACTCGTACTCATTTGACCTGCCAGCTGCCCTAAACAGTTGCTCAAGGGATGCAGTTTTTCCATCGGCTGACCTGGTTGGGTCTAAAAGGCCTTACGTTCGCTTCAACAATCCGAGCGATAAATTTTTGAGGTGGATCAAGGCTTTATTGAAGGACTGGTAAGACTGGGGACTGAGTGGAGTGACTAAATATACTGAAAATGCACATTTGCATAGCCTTTGCCTGAACTAATGCTTCATACGCTCACCGCGACCTTTCAGAACCTCAACCAAAGCGATTCCATCCTTCGTAGCCTCATCAAAATCCTCCTTCGGCAAGCTAAGCAGCTCGTTCTGCGCTTTCGCAGAGAGATCACTCGGATCCTCGGGGAAGAACGCTCTCGCGTAGAGCAGCTTACTGAACCCAGACATGTCTCCTCGCTTGACCTGCGCCAGACCATCCTCATACCGTTTCCTGCTCGACTCATGAGTAACAGTCCAGTCTGCGTCTGAAGTACCAGTGACGCGCTTGACACTCTCAAACAGATCTTTCTGGCTGACGACGAAGCTGTTCAGGTAAACAGCCCTGTTCAAGAAACTTGAAACCGTGAGACTTCTATCGTTCTCATCATCGGGGAGTTCCTTCAAGCTCAGAACCCTGGCAACAGCCCTTCCGACCTGCGCAAGCGTGGAAGTCGAGTTTTTCACATTCCCATCATCATAAAGCGTAAGTGTCTTTTTGTCAAAGTCAAATCCGAAACGACTCTCACCACCGGCAAGACTGTAGTCGAACCAGAATCCGCAACAGACCGTGATCCACTTCATACCAAGTCTCTCAATCTCATCTCTGTTCGCTTTGGCGACTGGTCCAAGGAGAGTGTCCTCCCCAAGCTTGACCTGTTCAATGTCGCCAGCGTAGCCGTTCGGCATGATGTACGGAACACCGGCCTTGGCGGCTGCCTGGACAAGTTTGCTGTGCGTATCCTTGGGAGCGTTGGGAGCCATGGTTATGATGAGAAATTGCTGGTTCTTCAAGGCAGCGATGAGTGTTGGTTCGTCATTATAGTCGATCGTGGCGATGATGATTCCCTCGGGAAGGTTGTTAGTGCTTCCATGGCGGGTCAAAGCGGTGATTTTATGTTTTCCAGTCTGAAGAAGCGCACTGGCGATGTGAGAGCCGACTGTGCCGCCGGCCTGGTCTGTTTGTTAGTGCCGTTCGGTGGAACAAAGGCTGCATATACTTACGCCGACGATTGCGACTCTTTCGATGGAGTTAGTGAAGTCTGCTGGCAGATCCTTAGCGTGCATGGACATTTTGGTCGTTGTCAAAGGTGAAAATATGATAAGAGCGAAGAGTAATAGTAATTGTGACTGCAGGTGTCGGAGATGATAGTCGTGCTTGATGAGATATCATGACGGGAGACTTTGGTGTCTTTTATAAGTTGCAATCTATGTTTCTTAGCGTGAATGAGATGATCAGTCATCTCTGGTTCTCGGTATTTTCGTATACCATGTCTTACAGACTCATTCACACCCTGCCCATTGAATTCTCGGGCTATTTCTATGACTGTATCCACATTTGCCCGGTCTAACGGGTGTAGTGCGGGAATAATGATGCTTACTCATGACTTCGAATAAGCCGAGATGAAAAGACCGAAAGGATCACGACAGCCGTTCTATTGCCCGCACTGCAAAGCTTGGCCCATAATCGCAAGCCAGATACACCCTGAAATATGACTAATCGGCCTGCGTTGGTAGAATCACTTCATACTGTGAAGCAAGGTGGAGCGAAAGCTGAGGAAGGCAGGGTTACAATGCATGACTCTTGGCCAATATTCAATTTCTCACTGACATCACTCCTTTTTTAATGTAAGTTTATATAAAAGAATTGCTTTTAATCCCAGCAATATATTTTCATCGATAACATACCAACCTTTACACATCTAAGTGGTTCGATATGAATACTTTTACCGCAAGACGGGGTGTAGGATACTCAAGTTCTACACCTTGGCGAAAATGACCTGATGTGAAACGGGTTACGACTGTTTAATACTAGAAGGGAACCTCAGAGACTTCCTTCAGAACTCCCAGGCTTAGGTAAACTGCAATGGTGATTTAAAAGTCCTTCATTCTAATAACTTGAACACTTGTCTGCGGGCCAGTCTGCAAAGAGGGAGAACCCATTCGGATTTACTTGGGTCGACCAAGACTGCTCGAGGTTGAGGCTTGACTTCGAAACCATTGGCGGAAAATGAGTTACATATTAACATATGAATGTCCAAACTCTTGCCAGAGCGCTTACTGCCTGCAATAGAGTGAGGAGTAGGTGGCTCGCCTTAGCAAGGGTAAGTACGCATAATTGAGTATAGACTTAGTACATCTTACGATATTTATAATGAGCCCCTTGATTTAGTATCGGATGTTTCATTACGCCCAGGCTTTGGGTACCTACTTAGAGTAATTACTAAGACGTTCTACTACGTATAGCGACACACGACATCAGACCATGTAAACAAAAGCACTATTTACTCATGTATTAAATTGGCAATAAACAGAAATATAAATACTAAAGACGGTTTGTCGCTGATAACAGTAGAGAAATGAAGCCGGAAACCAATCCAACCACCAACGCAAGGAGAACCAAAGCAAATATATTTCTGTGACAGAATGCGAGGCGGACTTCGAACCTGCCACATGCAGACGGAGCCTGTGTATCAGATGATAGAGCCCCATCATCCGAGGCTGGAAACTTCACGACACCATATCTTTCAGCCTTGTATCTTTTCCATCGCCTGTCTTCCCATCCATGGCTCAATGACCTGAGAACTTCCCGCGGTGTCGCACTGACAATGAACTGAGAGCGACTGCCTCGAATGGAAAGTTTGATCAAGTACGTTGGCCGATCTCTGCAAAGTGCGTTCACCTTTGTGACGATACAACATCTGAGCGGCAATATTCCTGGGAACTGCCATTGTCGGAGCTGCGAGCCAAGAGGGAGCTGCGGGTATGTGCTATTTTGGAGATCCCAAATGATAGAGAACCAAAGCCGAGAGAAGCACCCGAAGTAGTCTTGTACGTATAAGCGACTCGGCTTGTTAATTTCAAAGTCCTGTCCATTGACATACACTGGTGGAATCAATGGATCTAAGACTTCATAGAGAGGGATATAACCGCTCAAATCTCCATTGAACAGTAGTTGAAGGACCTCTAGATATTTTGGACAAAGGCATTTGTTACCGAAAGGCCTCCGCTGGCCACTGAGAGATTTCCAAGACACCATACCTAGGTGTCCGCTCATCAAAGTGAACAAGGCAGTCCGGAAGAGATCTCTCTGGTCTTGTTTGACGTCAGATGTCTCCTGATCAAGCAGAGCACGAACGTGATGCAATCTACCATGAAAATCAGCTGCAGTTAACGTACTCCCAGAGCTGATATCAACGCTGACAGATGCGTCTGCTCCAGCATTGAGTAAAGTATGGACCAAGCTTAGCTGACGGTGTGCTGTTCCTTCAATACATTGAAGCGCGAAATCAGACCCATTGAAGCCAAGACCACGGATTTCAGACTCATACTTGGGATATGATCTTAAAGCCCTTCTTAGGGTGTCTGTTTCGCAGCCCATCCAGTTGATATGAGAGTCGGATTCAGAGAGAGACCGTAGAATACTCCTAACATCAGGCCTCCCCAGGATAGAAGAAATCGCCTCCCTATGATGTTGACAGGACAGGTCAATCGATGTGCCTGACACCTCTAACAAAGATTGAACAGCTGAGAGATTCCACATCCTCAACGCCCATACTAATGGTAAGACCCCTTCCAACGGCTCTTCGATACTGGCACCAAGACTCAGGAATAGTGGAATGAGATTGAAGAACCGGTTCCGAGCTGCCAGGCTTAGGAGGTGATCCGGATTATATGCTTCTGTATTTGCGTCGAGAAGGATCCTAACGGCTTCCTCGTGGGTGAACTGAACAGCGAGCTCCAAAGTAGTTCTAGTTCGGGTCCTAAGGTTGACGTCTGCACCTTCATCAAGCAATCTCTGAATGAAGTAGCTTTGAGTTGGTGATCTTAAATGCCATAACGCAGCTTTCAAGGGTGTATCCGCCCTCCTTTCATAAGGATCCTTCAGGCCCCTTGGAAGCTGACGAGTGGGATGAACATAGTTCACATCTGCTCCAGCTTTAAGCATAGCCTCAAAAGCTATTATGTTGTTGCACTCTATTGCTGCTTCAAGAGGCCCCTGGGCACCATTGTTAATCTCTGCTCTCGCATGCATCAAAAACTGCCAGATAGATTCATGCCTATACATAATGGTTAGGGCAAGAGGAGAGGGTGAGAACTCAGGGAATAAGTTGACTTCGTCCCCCGCTCCCTCCCACAAGTCTCTCACGATGTCGAAGAGTCCGTATATGGACATCACTTGGAGAGGTGTTGATGATATTTGCAAAGGAGGTGAGAACCCTGACCAATTTCTTCGAAGGCGCCACCTGTAGTTCTCCATTGCAACTAAGTGACGCTTCCAAGCCTGGAAGGAGGAGCTCCCTTGGGAAATAGGCTCGAAGAACTTCCGTAAAAGGTATGAGAGTTCAGAGTACCTGAACGTAGGCATATCTATTTCATAGACATGCCACAATACATACCCAACTATGTAGCGACATTGAACTCTGAATTTATTCGAAGGATCACCTAGCCGAGATCCGGTTCGCTGAACGACCCACAGCGGAGGTTGAGAATATCTATTGTACTCCGTATTTTGTGGCACTTGGACCAAATATCTCTTGATGAACCTGATAGAAGATGTGGCAGCGTGGTAATGCGATTCAAGCATGGTGAAATGATGCGTCTCAATGTATTCTCGTGCCGACAAGTGCGAGAACCGCCAGACATTCGACTTCCGATCGTAGACAAGTAGGTTTCCGCAGATGCTCTGGATAGTCTCCGGCGTGAAGGCTGTATCAGCTTCTATTATTCCAGAGCTGGGTTCAATCTGCATCAGTAGCAATAAGTCAGAAGTCTCTAATGGTTCGAATGAACACAGAGCCCATTGCAAGGCCCTTTTAGCCAGTTGACCTTCATACGGAGACATTTCTTGGATCTGATTCCAGACCACATCGTACGCTCCCTTCAGTCCGATGGGTGAGATTTGGAGTTCCTTCCTCATACTCTGTTCGCTCCAAATTCTAAGTCGACGGATCTGATCAACCTGTAGTGCTGCCCACTGGAACATTCCTTGGCTTTTCTTGTGAAACACGGATTTGACCTCTTCCTGGAACTTGGGACCAATGTCGGCCCAACGGGTGTCTCCGAAAAGCTTATTCTCCACAAAAGAGGATATATCTTCTCCATTATCCGTTGCTTGTATCATCATGACAGGCGTATCCTTGAAGTGGCGTAAAATGTCCTCATCATGTCTACTGGAGATGAAGACACGAACCTTGGAGCCTTGATTCGTCAAATTCGACAGGACTCTCATAAGATCCTCCCGCGTGCTTCTATCGCATTCATCAAGAGCATCCAGAATTATGGTAGTTCTGGGATAGTGTTTGATAAGCTTCCCAATCAGGCTTTCACATATAGATATATCAAATGTTGTACCTTCAAGTGCGAGCCTGTTTGGCAGATCTTTAACAGCGACGTGAATCATTCCACAATCGCTTTTCTTGACTGGACTTGATAGTTGACGAAGAATGCTGCGTAGGATGTCCTGAGGATTCCTTCGATTTTCCTCATCTCTCTTGCAGTAGAAAAAGGCGACAGCTTCACCCGTTTCAGCCCTCTCGATGGAATGGTCGACTACTTTTGAGACTAGAAAGGTTTTGCCGGCCCCAGCTGCGGCCAGTCAATCTCTATATAAAGAAAGTGGAAAGTTAGTATACTTACGACTGCCGTAAAGAATAGTTACCGATGAATCGCTTTCCTCCCATCGAATGAACGTCTCCCTCTTCAATATCCACTCACAAGTACCCACAGTTCGTCTTCGACTGACCTCGTCATGGTGAGCACGAAATAGGATGGAAGAAATAGCTCCAAGTGTATTGCGTCGTTCGGACTCATCCATGCGAACTAGTAGTTTTTGGACTCGATCCCCTAGCTCGGTGAGAGTTGGCTGGATCTTCTGCAACATGTCGAGAGATTTGTGCGATAAGGTGTGATTGAGGATTTTGTGGCAATTCTCTCCGCAGGCTATGACCTTTCTGTGCTGTACTTCCAAGTCCTGATGGATGCTCACCACCTCGGATGAATTAAATATCGCTGTAGCTTTGCGTTGGATCTTATGCTTGCTGGAAATCGAGTAACAATACTTAAGAGCACCCAGTAGTCCGGAGTAGAGTTTGATCAGCTCCTCATGAAGGCTATTGAGGCACTGTTGACTGAGCTTGACATCGTTCTCTGTTTCTCCGGTGTGCATAGACTCTCTCGTATAGACCATTTCTAGAACGCGACCAGAGAAAGCGAAGTGCGGGGTCGAGGCGAGGAGTTCAAGCACGTTCTCTGCCTGCTCTCTTTCGGACAATATAGCCTGCAAGAAGTTAGCATAGATCCTTTGTCAGACCATCCAAATCAGGGCATATATCACCTGTAGGGCGAATCGAAAAGCAGCCCATGGAAGAGCTGCATGCACGGGGTCGAAGGAAGAGATGACATCGCCAATCCCTTTGACTTTATCCAGCCAATGAATTATCTTATCAAAATACTTTGTGAACCTGTGGTTAGACTTTTCAAGGTCTTTCTGCTTTGTTGTTGTTTGTTCAATGAGCGCGTCGATCTGTTTGGTCGCGGTCGCGATGGGCTGTATGCCTTGTTCGAGTGAGGCCAACCATTCATTGACATCCGCTGGGAGATTCTCACGCGTCTTCGCCCATAGGCATGATGAGTTAGCCATCGGGTGCTAGACGTGGCAGGATGGTCGTCGGTGTCGATAGTATAGCGGAGCGAATCGTGCAAATAGCAAAAGAGACTGAAGTTTGGCATCAACTCTAAAAGATGCAAGCATTTGGAGATTTTCAGCTGCGTGACCAACTGTTTATCGCCACGTGAGCTGCAGTTCAGCCTCACGGTGCGCCAGCGAGTCAGCCTTATATGCAGGTTTTGCATAAGATTACTATTCTTGGCGATTTATGCTTTTGAGTGGCTTGGAAAAGTGAGAAGGCAGATTATGATCAATTAGTGCATGAAATATTAAATTGATTTCAACATCAAGCCTCTTGCCTGTTCAATCTAAGAACCAACAAAAATGACTGCCAGCCATATTGGTCATAGCTATACATTCTTGGGTCAAATGAGTCCTTGTATCTCTGTGAAGCTATTACTTCGATGATCGCCGAGCGGCGACCTTGTAGAAGAGGCTCCCATCGTAGATACCTCTGATATCCTCCTTCATCATACGCCCATCATCTGGCCAAAGTAAGATGTAGGTCGCCAACCCCGCATCATGAGTTAGTTATGGTAGGCGTAGTAGACTCAGGGTATATCAATCACTTACACTCAAAGAAGGCACCACCCCATCCGATGGGATCGGCGATGAGTCTTTGGCCTTTCATCAAATTACTCACATCCCATATCGTCAAGTAATCACGACCTTCTGCATACTTGGAGAAGATGTCTTCGAACTTCTGTGGAATGAATCGTCCTTCGGTATCGTAAGTCCCAGTGTCGCTACCATGCTTATCCTTGTGAATGTTGTCGATGTGAATTCGAAAAAAGGGATCGGGAAGGAATGAGGACTGTGTTGGATATGAGAAGTTGCCGTGGATGACGAGGACCGAGATAAGTGACAGGATGAAGCCATAGCCTAGTTGATGGAAGCCTCTGAAGGTGTCAATTGGCCAGATCACTCCATCATGGTCCTTGAAATAATTAGTATACCGTTGGAAAGTCTCAGGGAGAGGGATGGAACCTTATCAAAGAAATCGCAATGCTGCTGCAGAACCTGGGAAACATGAGCACTGAGGGCGTCAGAGTATGCATAGTCCTTACCGTTTGATCCTGGTGCCGTTGAGCCCAGTCATTCTCGGTCGTTCCCTCAGGACGCTCGTGAGTTGCAGCAAGATTGGCTCTCGCAACTCCTAGATAACGTGAGCCACCAAGCTTCCCCCATCTCAGTCTGAGGATGATTACCTGCGTGGGCTAGTCTGGGCTTGTCAACTCCCGGCTGATACGGATTTCTTTCAACAGTCACGGGAACTGCATCAATTGAAGTTGTGATAATAGAATTGGGATCGACCTTTAGCGCATCAGAGTACGACTTTGTGTTTTTGGGATCCTCGAAGTCCATTTTTGCGGGTTCAAAAACAATATCGTGTCAAATGTAGTTGAATGAACTGGAAAGCAAAATGTGTGAACCTGCTTTATATTAAATGTGGTTAGTGGAATGCAATCATACGTTTGACATGTGATGATGTGGATGTAAACATTTGACGTCATCGATCCAAGCCAAGCCATAACAATCGCACTCCTTTCTGCAACGCGACAACGTATTTGCAAGCAAAATCGTCTAGTCTTGTAACCGGGATTTTTTAATTGTCCTATTAATAGTTGCCCTGTACTTGTTTGTCAGGCGATGTTCCACGTTTGCTGCTACTGCATGACCACGATGCGGAGTCATAGCAGACTTAGAGTCGCGTCATCATGATTCCAAACATCCCTGTCTCATCGTAAACACCACGGCACAATTATATACAGCATTGACAATTGCATCATAAAGATATCAATGGAACAGCAGTAGGTATGTTCTATAATAACAGAAAGAATAAAGAGGTAGCCTGATCTCTGTCTTGGTATTTGCGCCAAGCTTCTTTATACTTATCTTTTCCGCAACGCCAAGTACTTTCTTCGGAGGCTGTAAACATGGACAAAGCACTGCAAACCGGCCTTTCAGCAGGCATGTCCGCTGTGTCAGGCTTCCATTCCAAGAAGCCCAATTGGGCAGACCCCGAAACTGCCGGCGCCAACGTCCTTCCTACATCATATTGCCCCCAACCCAGTACTCGCGTGGAGTTTCCGAGTGCTCAAAAGCCCGTAAAGGCATCGCATATCTGTATTGGCGCTTGGTCGTGGGGTGATAAGTCGACTTGGCAATGGGATGAAAAGGAACTACCCCAGGTCATGTTGGCTTGGAAGACGCTTTATGAGGCTGGCATCAACTTCATCGACACAGCTGAGGCGTACGGTAATGGAGAGAGTGAGAGGATAATCGGAGAACTGGTTAAGGATATTCCCCGCGAGACCATCGTCATACAGACGAAATATTTCAGCACTCCTCTCAAGGCTGCAAACTTCATTCATCCTGTCGATGCGCCCGTTAAGAGTCTCAAGGCCAGTCTTCAGCGCATGAACCTCGAATACGTAGACATTTATCTGGTTCATGGACCGATCCATCCACAAAGCATCGCAACCATCGCTGAGGGAATGGCTCAGTGTGTTGAGCAAGGCCTTGCGCACTCAATTGGAGTAGCCAACTATGACGTTGAAGACGTTCAAAAGATCAACGATGAACTTGCCAAGTTCAACATCCCTCTCGCGACAAACCAATGCGGGTACAACATTCTCCGTCGCTACCCTGAGCTCACCGGCAATATCGAGAAGTGCAAGGCCAGCGGCATGATCTTCCAGTCATACTCATCACTTGCGCAAGGAAGATTGACTGGCAAGTACACAAAGGACAACCCGCCACCCAAATCACACCGATTCAGCAGCTATAAAATGGAGGATCTTGAGCCTGTACTTGAGACTTTGGAAAGGGTTGCTGAGAGACGGCGCAAGAGCATCGCCGCTGTCGCGTTGAACTATAATATCAGCAAGGGAGTCCTGCCAGTCGTTGGAATCAGAAACGTTGAGCAGGCGAAATGTGCTATAGAGGCGCTTGGATGGAGGCTTACGGATAGTGAGATAGTTGAGATTGACAAGGTAAGCATTGTTGGAGACAAGACGGTGCTTTGGCAGCAGGGTTAGGTTCTTGGGCCCTAAGCTGGACAGGTAGTGTGGAATAGTATTGTTTAGCTTATCACTAATTATGAAGATTAATAAATGGCAATGGGTATGAAGCTTCTTTATTCCACCGATAGGTACCACCAATAGGACCTTCAATGCCCTGATCATGACCTTAGGCACAGGCGCAGAAAGATTTGCCGCGTGCCACACTCGCTCGTCTTTCCAATGAGAAATATTTGCTGCAGTCATAGCGGCAGCCCATAGAATTCGCAGCAATCCCACCCAGGTGATTGCTCAAGAGGCTGTATCACAATGCTTGCAATATTGGGACGTGAATTTCAGCTGGAGTGATTGCCAGCCAATGAGATATGTGGCCAATTGTGATTGGCTGAGAGGTCGTATCATGCGGGAGCCTACTGACCTTAGCGCCTGGAAAATGCCATAATATGCAGGCTTGGGCAAAGTTCAGCGCTTCCATCACGCCCTGGCGATAAACAAGAAGGCCGTGATGCCTAGTGGCCTGGTTTATGAGGCTCAAAGCCAACCGGCAGCTTCTTATATCATTCCACGATTTCGTTTTGTTTCAATCCAACCCTTACTGCATCACATGTTGTTCCAGGATAGCATCTTCGACACGTCTACTCAGCGTTATATTCCTCGCCCAGTCGACGTGACGGCGAAGCAGCCTATCATGTTCAAGCCTGAGAAATATAAAATTGGCTGGATCTGTTCTCTGAGAAAAGAGTTCATCGCCGCCAAAGCATTTCTCGATGTCCTCCACGGTCAGGTTGACAATGCAGCAATCAATGATGACAACAAATACACACTCGGCAGTATTGGCAAGCACAATGTTGTCATTGCAGTTTTGCCGGATGGCCAATACGGACTCGCCAACGCGGCTGCCGTCTTGAAAGACATGACACGGACGTTTTCCGACCTGCGAGTCGTACTTATGGTCGGGATTGGCGGTGGCGTCCCGGGCAAAAAGGATATCCGGCTGGGTGACATCGTTGTTGGATCTATAGGTCCAGGGAACGGTGGTGTAATTCAGTACGACTACGGAAGGGCGGTCCAAGACGAGGAATTTGCTGTTACTGGCCACTTAAACCAGCCGCCCATGGCATTCCTAACGGCTATGAGTGCTCTGCACGCGACGTACGAGATGGAAGGTCACGAAATTGACAACAACATCAATAAGGCCCTTCAAAGGTACAAGCGGCTCGGCAGGGAATACAGAAGACCGGAAGCTTCCACCGACAGGTTATACGAAGCAGAATACGTTCATAAAGGAGGCGAGGGCGTTGCATGTAGTCAGTCATGTGTTAACGATAATCTGGTGCACCGGGACGAGCGAGGCGAGTATGAAAACAATCCCGCCATTCACTGCGGCTTGATAGCATCAGGTAATTCTTTGATAAAGGATGCGATTCTACGCGATAGGCTTGCAGCAAAGCACAGTGTCATATGCTTTGAGAAAGAAGCCGCAGGTCTGATGAATCACTTCCCTTGTGTGGTCATCAGGGGGATTTGTGATTATTCTGATTCGCATAGCAACGACGAGTGGCAGGGGTATGCGGCTATGGTGGCAGCGGCCTACGCGAAGGACCTGCTACTTCAGGTAGCTCCGAACAGTTTGCAGAAGGAGGAACGTGCTGAAACAGCTCTGCGACAAAGTGAGTATTTGAGCATTTGTACAATAGGAGATATAAGATCACTGGAAGCTGATTGGGAGAAACAGTGAATTACCGGTTAGAGGATATCCGCCAGATACACAGGGACAGCAACCGTGACATAAAATCTCTTCCTTCCAATATTGGCGACGATACTGTATCGGAATGGCTCAATCCAGCCGATCCACCTGCCGGTCACAACAAGGCTCACAAAGACTGCTACTCAGGTACCGGGCGATGATTGTTATACAACCCCCAGTGTGTCACCTGGAAGTCCCCGAAGAATTCCTTTCCATGGCTGAATGGAAGCTTTGGTACAGGGAAGACTAGTCTACCGTCGATTGCCACGGATGATATACGAAACAGCTCTCCTCCTCAGTTTTGTAACTGTGTAGTACTCTCGTTCACCAATGGCTAGGAGCAGTATCGTTAAGATATTCTTGGGTCTCTGCTCGATCAACTCGTAGTCGTCCAGAATCTCGTTATCCAATTACATAACTTCATTCTAAATCCGCCAATGGGAGTAGTCAAGCAACCACAGAAGAGCTCAAATGCACCTTTCGACGAATACTATCAGTTGCAGGAGAGGACTTACTGTTATCGATGCATTGGATGAGTAAAAGAAACGTAGCACCTAGCGACACGAGCTATGCAACTGGATAGAAAGCTTTCGTAGCGAGCCTGTCAACACTCATCTCCTTGTCACAAGCCGCCCTGAACTTGACATCAAGAACTCAATTGAAAGTTGGGTTAATTGGGAAAGCATCATCTCTCTCCAGACAAAAAACGTGGGTAGAGATGTCTCTGAGTATATCCGTGATGTTGTCACAAAGTCCACGAGCTTCCATCCCTGGTATGGTCAGAAGTCAAACCAGGATGACATCGCAAGTACCCTGACTGTGAAGGCAGATGGAGTGTACAGCCCCCAAACATCCTAACTTCTGATACAAAAGGTTTACTGCTAAAGCAATTATAATATGAAATAAATATATTACAAGGTTACTATGTAAATGCGTTAAATTATGCTTGACGTTTCGTTGGGTCGCTCTTCAATCGCAGCGGTTGAAAAACTGCATCAGCAAAGAGGAAGTCAACCAAACACTTCAAACTCTCCCTACATCACTTCAAGAGACATACTAGCGGGTATTGAAAGAACTTACAAGCACTAGGAGGAAATATGTGATTCGAATCCAGGTCCTAGCATACTCGGATCTCCCATTCGGCCATGGAGCGGCTGCTGATGGCTTACGTCATGCGCCTCAAACGTACCACCTGGCTCACCATCCATGACAAAAGACCGTATGCCACTACCAGTTGAGATATCTTCACTTTGCTCTACATTATGTTTCGCAGTTTGGAGGATAGCTTACTGCCCCTTCCACAATGTATACCATTATCAAGCAACACTTCAATTAGCCCATTCTTGTACGAAGGAGTTCAGATCATCCTGTCCGAGAAACGAGTTCAACGGGTTGTTGACCGAATCTACCGCGTGGTTGACGATCACAAAAGTCTACCTCGTCGACTTCCAAAAATTGGATTGTTGTTTGCACAACCATGACTTCAAGGGAACATACCACCTTTTACAATTTGCTGTGGAGCGTTGGATTCATGATGCCTGTTGCCGCGTGTCGAAGCTCAATAGCTTCACAGATTTGTCAATGCAGCACTTTTCGAATCACTTTCTCTTCATACCATGGTGGATGCTCATTATGAGCACGGATCGTCGCAATATACCACTCTCTGCTCATCCCTCTGGAAGCTATGATCAACTGTTTTACGCACTGGTCTGGGGACGAAAGTTGTCTCAGGATGCCGCTAGGTTCAGGGGATACTGCAGTCTGGACTCTCGATTCAGTCCTCCATGTTGCCTTTTTTGGCCATTTAGATACCGTTGCCCTTCTGATTCGACAAGGTGCTGATGTCAACGCCAAAGGAGCAATACATGGTTTACTCTGTTCTGCCGTCAGAGCTGACCATGAACATATTATTCCACTTTTGATTGCCGAAAACGTCTATCAGCACCCAGCCAAGGGTTAGCAATCCCCTTCGAGTTGCAAGTACATTTGGCCGTTTGGATGTTGTCGTTCTTCCGATGTAAGGAGGAGCTAATATCAACGCTGAGTCAGATATAGGTACGACCGTTTATTCGGCCTCTGACTACGGCGGCTCGGATATCTCTATGTATTTGGTACTGAATGGCCCCGATGCAAATTCCCAAACACGCAGAGACAGTGCACTCCAATCAGCATCTTGCTCTGCCGTTTTAGGATGTGTCAGGTTCCTGCTTGAGCAAGGTGCAGATATTGACGCCCGTATTGTAGGAAACTATAACGGTCTTCAGTGTGCTTCCCGTTCTGGCCACTTGCATATTGTAAGTTTTCTATTGACGAAAGGTGCTAATGCCAATGCTCAACGTGAGGAGCATAAGACTTCTCTTTGTGTTGCCTCACAAACTGCCCGTTCCGATACTCTTTTACTTGAGGACCTACCGATTCATACCTTTCTTTACGAAGAAGAAATCTTGGGCAGTGCTCTTTATTTTGTCTCTTCCTTTAGCCACTCAGATACTGTCACTCGTCTAATAGAGGACGGTGCCGATTTGAACGTCCCAGGGGGGCATGCTGCTGTCAATAGGCGGCGAGACAGTATAATCGAATTCTTCCAAAATTCGTCATGATGGTATCAGTCACGTTGAATCGATATGCCACACGTTCTTCGCCCTGACTAACGCTATCAGTATCCGAAGTTAGAGAAACCCTTTCACTGGAGGTTCAGTCCAGCTACCTAAAGAATATAGAAAATCGCCTCTATCTTTGCTTGCACAGGAAAACGACTCTGTCAAATTAACTCAAGTTCTATTCGTCCACCCAGCCAGCGTTAATAGGATAGACTCCAATAGGGATCCCAGGCTTACAGAGAAGGTGTAACTTGTCTTCGGATTCTTTCATTGCCATATTGTCTAAGCTGCGATCTTCCCGTGATACATGTATGTAGCCCCATCACAAATCACGTAGAACAGTACAACTATTCTAGTTGTAAGGGGCACGGGTTTCTGCTGAATTAAAATGAAACCCGAGAGTCCAAGTCGTTGAGATACTGGGAGAGGTATTCTTTGATGAAAATTCCTATATTTGATCCCTGCAACACAACCGCTTTTGGCCAAAAATTACCCGCAGACACGGCATTTACTAGCCAACGACGAGCATGGCTCGCTCCGATTAAGCGATATAAACATGAATATCGAGATGTTTAGTTATTTAGCGCATAAATCCCAGCCTCAAATGTCTTGAACAACAAATCATGGACTGAGAACCTCCCCGTATCACGACCTTCTGCAATTCACTTCAGCCAACCTCCATGCTGCAGCCAGTTTGCACATTCCTCACCAAGCTCCTTCTTGGCTCTCTCGTCATACGCCTTACAATCTTCCTCAGACAGTACATCCTTCCATCTCGAGTTCGTTCCCTTGTACACAAAGTCCTTCGCGCCGTTCTCCCAGGCAACCTCAGCCTGAGGCGGCGCCGAAAGATGCGCATGCTCTTTCATCCAATCAAACGTAGAATGCTCAACGACATCTTTGAACTTATCCTCCGGCATATCCGGAATCTCAAGAAACTTCGCGATCCGCTTAATCCCTCCTTCGAGATCATCCTTGAGATCGTTGAAGTGAACAAGAAGGAGATTCGGTTGGTCCCGATGCTCCCACCATCCACGAATATGACTCCAGAAAGGCCAACCAAGGGAACTTGGCATATCATCCTTCACAAGCTGATCGAAAATGTCTTTGGGGTTCTCACTCGGTCGTTTAGGAAGTTGGCCCTCATAACCCGTGTTCTCGAAAAAGCTGTAGAAAGTGTCTGTAGCGCGATACATATGATTATGGATGCTCCAAACCATATCACGTCCATCGCGTGCAATGAAGATATACTTCACTTGAGGGTTCCAGACAAGAGCGTCAAGAGGGAGATGTGTCTTGAGGAAGCGACGATGCGTTTGGGACTCGATTAGGCCTAGCATTGCTTCCTTGGGGACAATTCGCAGATCAACCCATGGTGAGAGAGCGCCTGCGGGGACGGTTGGGTCACCTTGGTGGATCAGTTGTGAGACGATCTGTTGAACCCACTAATACCCTTTTTAGCTACGTGCTGAGAGGAATGAGTGAGTCGCTTACAGTTGTGCCTGACTTGGCGTAGGTAGTGATGATGATATCATCTGGTCTGAACTTGACATCATTCCAGATAGACGACTCCATGTGATGGTTACTCTCCTCACGAGTCTTCACCGGCATATTGCCGTTGGTTCCATTGGTTGTCGCCATGTTGATTGATCTGCGAAGTAAGACAACGAGCTTGTTCACCAAACACCAAGCGAGTCCTCTTTCACATGGCCAACAGACCTCTTTTATACGCGTCAACCCAACATTTTCCAAGATCTGTATCCCCGTCGCATGCAAGTAAGACCAAAGGATCTTCAACCCTGCTCCCCGGGTCTCGGAAGCAAAATCTCACCAAAGAACTCCATTCACACCGGAACTCGCTGACAATCATCCACCGACAGCCCGAACCACGGTTCAAAAGAGTAAAGATCGTCGTAAGCTTCGTCACATGGGATGGTGCCGATGCCAAGCTAATGTACCAAAAAGGGCCATTGCAGCGCTGTCGATAGCTAATTCAGGGCTGCGGAGTCGAAATTAGCCCGTTTATGACGTAGTCAAAGAAGCCAAGTGGGAAAACGGACTCCAAATGTTGAAGCTAGATTTACATCAGCCAATAATCTCTGGAAAGGATCTCAATGGTTGCCGCATTGGCCTTGGAAATGTCTCCCACATGGGCTTTCTTCGGATAAGACTTTCTTTTGATGCATGATATTTCACCGGTTAATATGCTATTTGTCTATGCTCAACCATTCATAAGTGATAAGTGATAGCAGAGGGTTATGAAGGGCGCACTATTGGGGGCCGCGAGAATTGCAATGGAGGGTAAGCTGGCTTACCGGCTTCGATTACGTTGACCCGTGCCGCTATGCCGCTCGAGTCACCGCCGCCCGTCAGCCTTTTGAGCCACTTGCTACAATGGTCAGCATCGCGAGGTGGACCCAAGTAAGACCGTTCGCTAGCTCTCAGGCGCCAGTCAGCTCGCTAGGATCTAGTGGTCACTAGCCCCTGAAGGCTCATGCACTTGTTCTCAGATTCAAGTCGATAGCCAGCCTTGGTGACATGAAGTCTCTAATGTCCAATGGATGGCCAACATACACTTATTTCACTAGCGGATGAGGCATCAGTGTGACAGCAAGCAGTCGCAGACTTGAGTAGTCCGTCTTAGGACTTTTATGCGTAATTTGTCTGTGATAGGGTTTGAGGAGTCAAAAGAGACCTCAGCCTCAAGGCCACAAAGGTAAAGAACACCAAAAAAACACATACAGGCAAAATACTCGTCGCCCTGCATAATTTGTCAGTAGACTATATGAAGTTGCGAGAATCGATCCTTGCCAGGGAGAGCTAGTGCTGATCTTAAAGAGGAGATGCTGAGATCAGCCGGGTAGGGCTGAGCCGCGCACTGTCACCGAGATCCGAGATTTCGAATCCTCATCTGTAACCAGATTATAATCCATTTATATGTACTGCAAATACTTAAGATATCCTCCAAACTGGGTGTGAACCGCAATGTTAAAGAAGGTCTATATCAAGATATTAGTTTCATATTATCAACAGAAGAAAGCTGGCCCGTTCTCGCGCACGCGTCTTCATCAGAAATCAGCGGAGGTATTGGACGCACGTTGAAATTACGGGTATATTGTATAGATACAATTCCCTAAGCATGCAAAGAGTATACTCAGTGTTATATGCTTCAATATTATAAAACCAACTATGATATCCTTATGGGTAAGGGATTTGATAAAGTCTATATTGTACTATGTACTTTGAATACCTATACAAAATATATCTCTTTTTGTTCTGAGTTCTCTCTTACCAGTCCTTCTAATACAGGTTTCCATCTTATAGTTTCCTTGATACTGCCATACTTAGGGTGTATATCTTTGAGGTCAAGTGGAAAAACCTGATCTAAGAGCAATTGATCTTCTTCCAAAGCTATAAGAAGACGGTCATAGTCGTCAAAGAACGCCTCCAATCCACCTGGGTAGCTTAGAAGGTCACTGTCAGCCCATCTCACCTCGCGGTTTGCTAGGTGATCGATTAGGGCCCGAAGATGGTGCAGGCTCTGAAGGATAGGCCTGCTCTCTGTAATCGTCCCAAACACTCCTCCCAACTTACGCGACTTGTCAGAAAGATCTTCCAGAACCTTTTTCACGTCCTGAGGAAATTGATACCACCACAGAATGCGAACATGGTCTGACACCTGCAAGGCACTCTTTGTCCATTCTCGAACTGTAGTATGTAAGACATGAGCCTTGTGCCAGAAGTTCACGAGATTTGGGAATTGCTTCTGTAGCTCTGAATCATCCTCTAACATTTTCCTGGTTTCCAAGCTTAAGAAAGGAATCCAGCTTCTCCAACTTGGGTGCGTTGTCTCGGTCTTGTCTGCGAGGGAATAGTCGCAACTTTGGCCCTCGGTTGATAAAATTTCTTCCGTATGTTTCAAGTCTGACCTTGTGAGCTTGAGGACTTGGTTCCTCCACTTTGCTACGAACTCAATCATTTCGACCGCAAGAGGTGTGAACCGTAGATAGCGATGCAGGTCACCTGGCTTAAGGATCTCAGCGGGCCTGGACTCAGGTGTTGGACAGACTATAGCTGCGACACAAGGGCCGATCAGGCGATATTTTCGGCTATCAGAAGTCTGCTGTGCCAAGAACAAAGCAGTACACCCCTCGACTCGGATCAGATGAACATCTGCGTTGGAGGCTGTACACTTCAATGCCCATGCAAAACTCCTAATGGCAAGTTTGACACCATCCTTCAGATTCCAGAACCCTGTGAAATACTCGCCGTCTGCCCATTGATCAAGCTCCCAGCGAACAGTAAGAACAGACTCAAACGAAGAATCGAGTTGTAAAACTGTCTCTATCCTGGTTGCAAGAAAGCCCGATTTAGCGTCTACCATTTTACAAGATTTTGCTCCTAGGTCGCACACTGAGTTCCTGTCATGAGGCCAGCCACCTATGATACGTATTGTACAACAGTCAAAAAGTGCTTCCCGCTTAAGAAGACATTTGCTGTCTAGTTCGATCTGTTCGACTTGTCTGTAGATGCCTTCAGAAGCTTGAAGCGGTACATCTGTATCCCAAAAAGGGACCCAAGACGGAATCCCATACTCATTGTTGCAATATCGGTGGTCTTTAACAAACCAGTTCCTATCCCAGTAGGGGTTGGCGTGCTGAATAATATCGCAACAATGGCCCTTTTGCATGAGGTATGCAGCGACTCCAATGTAAACCTCACGGACCGTCAGCTCGTAGTCAGGACTGAGCTCTGAAGCCTGATCGTTGCTAATAAGACCTAGTAACCCAAATATCTTGTCACGTAGGTCTGTAACACGACAGACACTGGTTGCGGCAAGAAGATCTCTCAGGTCCAAAGGGGCCTGCTCTGCGTTGGACCTGGCCTTTCCAGCAAATCGCACCCACGAAGGAACATTGACACCTTGTTCGTACAGCTGCGACATGGACTCGTTGGTAACCTTGAGTGAGGCCTCTCCACAATGTATAGTAATGGATTGAGCGAGCAGAAGCTCTTGGACAACCCATAACCGAGCGAAGTAGGGCCTTCCGAAGAATTTATTGAGAACGGAAATGTTGCTTGTTTTCCCATGAAACAGGATTTCACATATGCCATTCACTTGAATATCATGTAACAAAGCCATGGCTTCCGTCCCTGTCGAGTCGTCTCCACATTCCATCTCTCCTACGTATGCATGAACAGCAGTTGCTTTGGAGTATATGGTCTTCATCAAGCCGACCTGGTGCGACCTTTCTGACGGAGATAACTGGTTGATGCATATGGAATCGACCCATAGTAGAACTGACTGGTGTTTCTGGCGCAGGCTTCGCAAGGCCCGATCACAGTTTCGTGTAATACGCATAACCTTCTGTTCTTCATCGAGGAATATCAGATTCGAAGGTGAGGCATCACCCCTATCATCTGCCCAAGTATATGACAGGGCTGAATATGGAGGACATGTTTCTTGCTCCCACGGCACCTGGAAAAGCCGCCCGCTGAGTGTGTCGAGCCTGCTGCCGGGGGATAGTTCCAGTAGTCGAATACAGGAGCCCTTGGGTAGATCAGAGTAGACGTAAGGGTTTCTCTATCCAAACGGATTAGCATATTCATACTGATTGTTTGTGAGGACAAGTAATATCTTACCTCTCTTTGAGCTTCGTTTTGAAACGAGGTCTGCACGTTTGGACGGTAACTGAAGAATTCCCTGTCTCCTGTCGCTGCCTTCACAGGGGTCGGTTCGTAGGTCTCGGAGTATTGAACACAGTGGGGCCACGAAAGTGGCTGAACCTCAGCTCTAAGCCAGCCTTCCCACGGATCGACCTGTTGCTTCTGTTGTGATAATTCAAAGTCCTCGACTAATCCGCAGGAGAGACAGGTCCTCATGAACGCGTCGCTGGTCGGTAGCAACATAAAGTCATGCCTTTTGCAACTTTGTTCTTGTTGGTCCATAGCGACAAACTTGGGATGGATGACTGTGCTTACTCAAGGTTGCGACGGTCGGTGGTCTGAGAAATGAGGGGAATTTAATGCAGAGGAGTGCGGCTGTGTCAGACAAGGCAGACTTCCTGCATGATTCCCATTCTACCTCCAGCCCCCGCTGAATTACACAGCAATCTACTGTGCAACAGTCAAGTGAAGGTAGAGCAGCTTGACAGCATCGTTTTTGGTCAATTTATCTTGCTGGGATGCTACTGGAGAGGACGTGAGCATCTAGGTGCAACGAGATGCAGCACGCACTGATTGGTTGATCTGCAGCCTCTTACCTAGCTAGGGTTGGCTTTGCTGAAATCGCTAATGTTTTCGTTTCAACAAAGACTTTTATCTGTAACTGTAAAACAGGATATTACACAAATTATGCCATAGGGTGGCTTGCATTGCTGTTTCATAGGAATAAGAATTGGCCTGTTTGCGTAATGTGGCGCATAATTGAGCCTCGCGAAATGATCAGCTGACATGCTTTCAACCCAGCACTGCCTCAGCATCATAGAGAAAAGACAAATGTCATAGACTACAGTTATCGCGAAGCATTATCTTGGGGTTACAGAGTCTCAAAGGTAGTATGTTCGCGACGAATCATTCTATGCTAACAGCTCGTTTTTCGCTGAATTTGCCGACAGGTGCCTCACTGTCGCTGCAGCCATTGCGAGAGACGACCATTCATCTGAATGGGTTTATCAAATATTGGGCGCGCCTATCATTTATTATCTGAATAGCTTTGCTGCCCATTTGATTCCTCATAATAATCCGTCGGACTGATCACCTTCTGTTTGCAGTTCAATTTCGACCTGATAATACTGTCTTCCGACTTAGTGATTGAGGTCAAGCAGCTAGTTTCTAGTCATGACAATAATTCCAATGCTATCGCGGCAATCAGATGTTTTAAGTTATACCTGGAGACAATGTTGTACTTGTCCAAAGAACAATAGTCGCATCCAAGTTATGTCGGTAGCCCTCCAGTGATCAGATCTAAGGGTTAATGGCAAGATACCCTATCTCTACCACATAGGCAACGGACAAAACACTGTCCTTTTCTATTATCGTTATATTTGCTCAGTGACTCACATTGAATCCTTCCGTTCTTCATTATCGCTTATTGGCTCAATCTGAAAGGTACCTAACATTCTGGGAATAGCGTCACTTCTCCACCAGCGGACATTTTCAAGTCCGCCGCGCCCTCTGACAACTTTGCTGACATAAAACAAGGCCGTGAGACTCGTTTTGGTCAGTATTTCTTTGAGATTATCCTCCAGGCACATATTAACTTCGTATCGTACCTATCACTTTGTCTGATCTTTGAAAATGGCGGTCCCTCAAAGACATACCCCTCCAATGGAAGAGTTGCGCCAATTCTACGTCGGCAAAAGCATCCATGATGTTCCCAAGCCCGCAGTCATACTAGACAGAGCCAGGGTCAACCGCCATTGTCAGTCCATGCTCAATGCCGTTGAAACTCTCGGTCTCGGTTTTCGAGCGCATGTGAAGACTCATAAGGTCAGATATACCAAGTTCGCATAAGTCCCCACGCTAACAAATTTCAGACAATAGAGGCAACACGTCTCCAAGTCGGCCAAGGAAGTGGCGATGTCAAGCTCATTGTATCAACTCTAGCGGAGATTGAGCATCTCCTACCTCTCCTGAAAGAGTATAGAAATGCAGGTCGGCGTCTTGATATCCTCTACGGCCTTCCTTTACCCCGCTCGCAAATCTCACGACTTGCAGCACTTGGCGCCGATCTGGGGCAAGGGAGCATCTCTGTGCTTATCGATCACCCATCCCAGCTCGATTCTGTCAAAGCGTTCTCGCGACATGCCAAGTTTCCCGCGAGAGTGTTCCTCAAGGTCGACACGGGGTATCATCGTGCAGGATTACCGCCAACAGCTATGAACAAGAACGGTCTCATCGAGGCACTTGCACAGCTTGAGGCCAATGGTGAGGCTGAGTTGCTCGGACTGTACTCCCATAGTAGTTTAAGCTACAAGGACACAACTGCCGAGCAAGCCATGGCGAACCTTGAAGGAGAGATTCAGGGTTGCCTTGATGCAGTCAACGCCCATGGTCAGCTCTTCTCCAAGGACAAAGAGCTCATCATCAGCGTCGGGGCATCTCCCCAGGTGACAGCAGTTGAGAACCTGGTTACGTCACAAGGGGATTTATCACCAGCAGCTCAGTCTCTACGGGAGTCAATTCAAGCTGTCACGACCGGGAATCCTGGTGGAGTTAATACCAGGCTCGAGCTTCACGCCGGTGTATACTCGATCCTTGACATGCAACAAGTATCAACCAACTCGAGGAGAGAACTGGGATCCTTTGAAGAGGAGATTGCTATTTCCATCATTGCTGAAGTTTGCAGTGTCTACAATGACAATGAGAGGTCGCAGCCTGAAGCATTGGTTGCTGTTGGATGTCTTGGACTTGGCCGCGAACCGTGCGCCGCATACCCAGGTTGGGGGGTCATCAGTCAATCGTCTTATAAGAAGACATCCGATAATGCTAGACGTTTGATCATTGATAGAATCAGCCAGGAACACTCCATCGCGGCATGGGAACACGCTGACGGCGAGAATACGTCCTCTTTGCCCCCGGTTCCATTGGAGGTTGGACAGGATGTCGTCATATTCCCGAACCATGCTTGCGTTGCGGGAGCTTTGTATGGATGGTATCTAGTCGTTGACTCTTCGGAAGGAGATACGACTAAGATTGTTGACGTATGGGTTCGAGCTAGTGGATGGTAGAGAAGTACAGACATCGATATAATAACCTTGCATAGACTCTAGATATCTCGTCCTGGACAATAAGCAACCTGATCTCTATGCTGCGCATTCGGTGGTCCTTTACTGCTTCAGGCTCTCTTCAAAGAGCTTCTGCAACCTCGCACCCTCACTATCAGCAACCTGGCCATGCGTTCTGACACTCCCGTAAGGGTGATATGGATATGGGCTGTAAATGTCAGCAATACGTAACTAGAGCTCAATTCATGGAATCCACCTACCCATATTCGGGTACAAAAGTGATAAGATCACTATCCTTGCTTCGCGCCTTGACAATACGCAGCCAGAGCCTCTCGAAGAAGTCTCGCTCCTCCTTGAACACGGGATCTTCTGGCTCGGGACACTGAGAGGACTGAGTCGTGCCAATACGTGCATGAATATGGGTTACCTAGATACTGTGAGTAACTGTTCAAGGCTACTGGGGAGGAATTATCGTACTCTTGGGATAAGCAGATCAAGAATCTCTTTGTCTTCCTCACCAAGGTCGAGAAGTCTTTCGCAGACGACAACCCAGTGAGAAACGTCTGCCGTCACTCGAAGCCTTGCACATGGTCAGCCTACATGCACGGGTCTCACTATAGTATCAGCTTACTCTGGGATCTTTGGTAAGATATACTTGGCAGCATACGGCGTGAACAATGACCTATTGCGATGCGTTTCGTGGCTGACGAGGCCCGTGAGACCCAGCTCCTTGTCGATGGCGAGGGTCTTCTGGTAGAAATAAACCGATTCGTCAAGACTCCAGTAATCCCTACTATCTTTAACTTCAAATGGAACGCTCGGAATGATTGGACTCACCCTCCGGATTGGGCGTTGATCTTGACAGGCTTCAAGATCTTTGCACGCTCGAGGTTGTCCCGGTAAATATCGAGGTGAACATCTGGCGTGAGATCTCTAGGCCTACCTCCAACGTATCCCGCCCATGCTGTATGTAGTCTTACGAAAGTCAGCCATCGTCGCAGACTTGCGATGAGCAACTTACAGCACAGTGGCTTCTAGGCCAACATCATCCAAGATCTTTCGCAATTGCTGAAGGTTGTCGGCGTCACGGTCTGTGATATCAACTTCAACACCAGCTACATCACATTAGTATCTGTACACAGCATGTTCTACGTGTGAAACACACCGTAGCCTTGCTTCTTGAGATCAGGAAACCATGGGATCCAGTTCTCAAAGTCCTTTCCAGACTCGACGCCCCAGACTGTTCGGAATCGCTTGATGACAACCATTTCAGCCTCTGCAGACAGGAATAAAAAAATGAAATGAGAAAATAAAGAAATAGACTGGCGATAATTGCGTAACTGCGTTTAATTTAAATCGGCCTTCTACCCGTCAATGTCCAAGACTCCCAAAAGAGGATCTTCACCCCGCCGGGGAGAATTGCCTTAAATGGACATGTGTATAATTATAGTGGGTCGGCAAAGGTCTGGCCAAATATGCCTATAGTATATCCGTACACTCCAACGTCTATTCATGTAAGACGGAAGCAAGATGCGTTGGCGAGACTGGAGCAATTTTCGATGAGCAATTCATAGACGTAGGAGAGAAAACATGAAGCCTTTTCTTACTTTGCACCTATAGACCTTCATCACCATCGTCACGGCTCCGGGTAGTTGCCCGTGTCCTCCTTCGCACACCGCCTCACATGATCCGAAAGAATCATGTCATGTGTTGAGCCAACCACTCAATAAACATCTGAGGGTTCTCTTGGAAGTGCGTGTACCCCTTCATCCGAACTGTTCCATCAACCCAATGCAATCGCTTATCCTCAACAGGGATTCTGTCATACATGGTTTGTACATCGCTCTCCTTTGTCAGAATATCGTTGCGTACAGAGTAAATGAATGTTGGAATACGGACACTCCCCATGATCGGTATAGGAGAGAGCTCGTCAATGTCGAAACTTGATTGAATCTTGACCAATCTGTTTACCTCGTCGAAGTGGTCGTCAAGACTAGTCATCTCGAGGGCCCTTTCGACAAAAGGTCGATACGAGAGTGGTTCCGGTACGAGTAAACAGCGGACATCCTTGAATATTTCTGGCCGACGGTGAATGGCAAAAAAGGTCGCTATACCGCCAAGACAACGACTGAAGAGGCCAACAGTCATGTCTTTGGTATCCTCTCGGCTGCGGACATAGTTCAACGAGCCAACTACATCCCTGGACTCGAAGTGCCCAGTACCGGAAATGCCACCGTTGGCCTGTCCGCTGTTACCGAAATTACGCATGTCATAAGCGAGTACGTTGTAGCCAGCTTCGTGCAATATCTTCAAGTCGGGAATGAAGTTAAGTTCGAAATCATTGCCAGTCATGGAGCCGCCGAGGAAGGCCTTCCAGGGCTCGAGGTGAGCGGGGAATCCCGATCGGTTGCAGCGAAGCGGGTGATTAACGATAATAAGCTTGTTCGAGCCAGGTCTTGGGATATACCAGGCCTCAAGGGTAATGCCATCTTCGCTTGGAAAGAAGACATCCTGGTACTCAAGGCCGGCCTCGCTAGGTCGATGGAGTAGAGGCGTGGGTATGTCATTACGCAGAGGGGCAGCGAGACTTCGAAGGTAGCTCTGGATTTCTTCAGGTGTCATTCTGACGACTAGTCACTCGAATACTCCGGTGTTCCAAGAATATGACGAGGGTTTTGGTTTAAAATTTGTAAGTAAGCTGAGAAACTCGGCGGACTTCTTGAATTGCAAGAATATGGAAAGAAGAAGTATAGCAACCTAGAGCACATTCAGATATATATCAGGTAAAACATCACGTACCAGATACTTGTAAGCTATACTATTCTGTAGGAAGGATTCTTACAGACTTAGGCTAATACGATCATGATTATGGGGTAATATTGTTGTGTAGCATTGGTGCTTACTGCAGGATCAAAACCGGTGAGTGTAGACACGTTAGCGTAGTCACTGGCCCTATGGGATCGTTCCTCTTATCGCACTTGAACGCTTCTAGCGTTCTGACATAAGCTCATTGTTCTCACTGCATATCCGGAGAATGCCAAGATTCCCGAGTGGCCAGTCAACGATGGACGAGCTGTTATGGTGCGAGAAGTTCCGTATCACGGATACCTAGGCAATACAGCCATTTCTTAGTTCTTGCGAGAACACAAATCATTTCAAAGCTACACTGGCTGAATGTAGCCTAGGGCTTTGTCTTTAGTAATGTGAAGCCTTCATATATAAGACGGGTATGCATGAAACGACTGGAGACGACCCGACCGGCCTGACTACGTCATCACCCCAGGCTTCAAGCAGGGCATTCCTTCCAGGATCGATGAGTTGAATTGTGCCACGATAACTAATTTGATATTACATCTTTCAGCAGGTCAAACATCATCCCCAGGGCGGGGAAAATTGCCTGAAATGGGCATGCTGATCACTTTGGCGGGGGAGCTCCACCCTTCGCAATGTATTGTTTCCGGATCGGAGAAAATAAGGAAAACGTTCCGGACACCACAGCGGATCTCTGATTGTCTCATTTTCCTAGACGATTTTGTAATATAGATATACGTGCTGAATCTGCCTACTCACTCGGAGTGCTTCTCAGCAGCAGACTGACACCATCTGTAGGAAGACCCATCGCGTCGTCCCTCATACGTTTCTAGTCGCTGTCAAGGCCGTGACCTCCCGCGCTTAAGACCTCTCTCAGTTCACAATACCTGCTGATCCAGACCCGCCTTCTTCATCGCTCCTTTCAGCCGTGAAATCTCACTTCTAAGATCTTCATTCTCACTCTCAACCTTCTCGAGCTTGACATTCAGCTCTTCTGTTTGCTCTTGAGCCCCAACGCCAAGTTCTTCAATAATCTTGACTACTCGCCAAAGCCGCATGACGACAATCAGAGAAGCGACCTCCTCGATGATACCGCGGAGTGCGACATCTGTAATGAAGCCTGCGATGACGATGAAGGCGTCGAAGCAATGAAACCAAGAGTTGAAGTATCTGGACAAGTCAGCCATGAGGTCTGGGTGAGATAGGGACAGGACTAACCTCCAGCCGAATGCCCAGACAGAGGCAATGAGTTCGACAACGAATAGGCATGAGAATACCAGGCTTATAGAGCCGAGAATCTCTAACGCCAAGTCCCAGTCTGAGCCCTTCTTGCCTTGCTCACACTTGAACAGGTTGAGAATGAAGTCTGTGGCTGTGAGTTTCTTGCTCATCAACATACCTAATTTACTCACCAGCGATCATGCTAAGAACATCGAGCGACACCAGCATCAAAACAGAGTAATGTCCGGCTTTCGATGAAAGAAATTGCGCAGTCTTTTGCTTCGTACTCCTCACACTCCATTCATCACCTTTGAAAGGATGAGAATGCCAATGCTGGATGTTCAAGGACGGAAGTCTCCTCTTGCCCCGTCGCAGAAGCGGTTGTTCCTCGAGCGAGCTCCCCGCATGTTCGATACTTGTTGACGACATGTCGCTACTGATGGAAGCAGTGCATTTGAAGAGGGAAATGGGGGAGACGCGTCTTCCTGACAAGGCAGGAAATGTTGAGTTCACGGTATGCCGCTTTATCCGCACAACGACGTCATAGGCCTTATCTTATCTTATCTCACAGCATAACCTGTACACATCGCGCTAAAAATCAGCGTTTCGTCGTTGCAGAAGAAAGTAAGTCAATTGTCGCTATCAGCTTCTTATGCCTAGATGATAGATAAGTATACGTTTTCTTCTTTCTTTTAACTGTATCACATTTCTGCTTGATTGAGTGATTGATAGTCAAGGCTTATAGTGTCCGTTCCTTCTCAGCCTGTAACTGCCATCATCAAAAGTGCACTCCAAAAAATACATCCAGCTATCGTAAAAACCCCCATACGGTTCTTGCTCATTTCCAAATATTGAGCATCAGCGGCACACCGTCTTCAGACGAGAGAAAACGTAACTTCTTTTGCCAATCAGAGAGTGTGAGTTTCAATTCGCGTTAGGCGTGTCTCGCTGTCGCCGAAAGGCCCTCTTAAATAACAGCCAACCAACAAAATGACTTGTTCTAGCCAATCGGATATCTCCCTTCTTAAACTTCAAGAAGCATCTCTCGACAACCAACAACGGCTTCATACGAGAAGTCATACGACTGCTCTGACTCAGACATTGTCTAGAAATCAGAGTCGCTCTGACTGTAACTCTATTTGAGGTAGATTCGGTTCATTCCGTCATCGACTACTGACGCGGGAGTACCTGTCTGGCCATTTAGGGCGAAGATAGGGAGCTGAACATGTGTCTCAAGTTTGCGTTATTTATTGCATTAGCCGGAGTTGATGCGTGCCGGTGGCCGAGGCTTCTGACCAAGCAAGTAAGATGCTTAAAAGTGGAAAGGAATGTCCCCATCTTCTCAGGATCTTTTCTCCAGATTAAAGTCCAACTTTTAGCAATATGCTGCTTTACTCGATCATCGTCAACATCACCATCTTCTATTTTGCAGCAATGGCGCTTCTTACTGCTCGAGATGCGATCCACGCCGATGACCTTGAACGTTATGATGAAGTCATGAAGACGATTGCCGGCAATCTGATCCTTAACTTTTACCCGGAGAACCCAGTGATCAAGCTCGATATTCATGAATACCCCACTGAGCAGGTACGGCGCCTGTGAGTCAGACTTAATTTTAACTCACATGTAAACAAGATTGTCCGGTCCGAGGCGTTCAAGCCGAGCCGAGATGCCGATGCATACTTTAAACAGGAGGAGGAATTGGCAAAAGAGTTTCTTCAACAATATTCTGGAGAAGGTACAGTAAATTAAAGAGGAGTCGCGTGAGGACAACTATCTTCAGTCACAGTAGTTAGAGGCTCACGCTCTTGTCATGAGAGCAGGGCTGCCAACAACAAGTCATAGACATTAAGTAATAAATACCGTGGCCCAGTAAACTAAGAAATATCTGCTATATACACCGAGAGAGCCTTGCATACCTCAAATGATACAGCATGTCATGCGAAAAGACGCGTCACCACTACGAAATATACAGGGTCAGCGGAGACTACCCTTTCTTGGATGTCATGTTGCTAAAGTCTGGGATTAGCCTGGATCGTCTGCAGGGCGTAAAGCTCATAACATAGATGGAGAGGTTCATCTCGCGTGAATTGCACGTAGATGCTCTGTTGTTCTCAAACGGTAAATGATGAATGTATTTGTTGTACCGCTGAACGGTGTTAGTCCCCGACGCCATGATGCTTCAATGATGATCAGCCGGGGTAATGACACTAATCGCAAGTGCAGAGATAGCGGGACTAATCAGCACTGCTAGCTGCGATTACTCCATCTTACACAAGCCCAGATCGTATCTCCAAGTGTTTAGCCGTTCAAGGAGTTGTATACCTTAACCACGGAAGTGGTATGATAGCTGACGTCTCAGTGTAGTGCATGGTCTATCCGACCTTATCCATATTTACCCGACTCTGACAGATTGACGGTCTAATCATAATTAAACACCCAGACATTGTACAGCAACTAGATTGAAGATGCCATATATACGTATAGTTCAGCATAAAACTAACAATTGCTGACTTAGACCAGAGGAATGGAGTTGTGAAAAACAAATTCCGTCTCACGTCTCAGACCTTGTTCTTTAACAAGATGGTTCTGTCAGTCGACTCCATCGTCTATTCAAACTTATCCGTCCTCGTGCATTGATGCATCAGCAATACAATTCCGTTTAAACTCGTGACACCAGGAAACTATCCATTCATCGCCTTTCAGAAAGTGGATTATCGCCCTCGCTAATCTAAGCACTACACATGAAACACGTTATCCCTATACTTGGGTACTTATATCCTCCCGCCAGTTTAACCGCTATTAGCCTAAACAATCGCAGATGAAGATGAACAACCTTAATAGGGAAACTATTCCTCAGGGAATAAGACACACGTCGATCTTTTACCGATCATGGAGACCATCCGAGGTTAAAAAGAAACCTTGTGCATCGTGGACTTTAGCCAGAATGCGGCATGCATGGATCGTGCATATGATCCGAAGAGCCCGGGTCAAGCATGCTGAGCCGGATTGACCCGACGGGATCAAGCGTCGTGAGTTTAAAATTTAACCTTTGGTGACGTTTGCCGACGCCGTGTTTCATTAGATAATACTACTTCGATCTGGAGATCAGCTTGATTAGCGAGGTATAGCTCATAGATAATATTAGAGTACTGCTCAAGAGAGGAAGTGGAGAATAAATGCTATGCTTAAGTTCAGTAGCATTACAAGTCCTTTTGATGTGATTCCAAGACTCATATATGGCCTCAAAGCTTCTTTTACCCGTCAAGGAGCAAGCAGGCGATGCCAAGCACAATCACTCCATCAAACCATGTCCTGGGCATCCCGGCAATAGATTCGGCTCTCAGTACTGACATCCTGGATTAATGCCAAGTAAGAGATGCTGTTAGAAGTGGTCCCATTGCAACACCAAGTCATCCTGCTTTTCTTACTCGTTCCTCAAACTAATCTTGGCACGCATGTTTATCCTTCGGTATAGCAGCCTAATATGATATATCTGCCACGTGCACTCCCCATACCCCATGATCCCCGCCTCCCCGCAATAAGCCGCTGGAATCCCGAGTCACGATCTCAAGCCACGGACAAGAGGAATCGGAGTATTTGACTTTAGCCGGAATACAATGATGGATGCCACTGATCGAAGAGTGCGGAGGAAACATAACACCAGTTCTTACGTACGCGTCCTACCAATCGCATCAGAGACTCGTTCTTGGCCGTAAGGGGTTCCTCGGTTGTCATTGGCCACCTGAGTCCTTACCGTCTTGGCTCCAGTGTTTACCGACTTGGCCTTCATGCGAGTGGAGAAGAAGAGGCTGAGATTTCCAAGATGAATGTAAAAGGTTGCTTTTGCGAGTTACGGAGAGCCAGGTTCCGAGGTAGGGCACCAAGCTAGACAGTCAAAGAGCCTGATGATATTGGTATTAAGGACTAAAAAGCTTGGCATTGACTTGTGACAGGCGAAATGAAGCTGTCTACGAGTATATATAAGGACCATACCGCTCACCAAATGAATTGATTCTCCAGCTCATCAGGGTTCTTCGATCTACACTCCAACTATCCAGCCAACATCATGGTCTCCTTCAAGTCTCTCCTCCTCGCCGCCTCGGCACTCACCGGAGCTCTCGCTCGTCCCTTTGACTTCCTCGACGAGCAAGACGACGGCAACTCCACCTCAGTCCTTGAGGCCCGTCAAGTCACCGGCAACTCCGAGGGTTACCACAACGGATACTTCTACTCTTGGTGGTCTGATGGCGGTGGCTATGCCAACTACCAAATGGGTGAGGGAAGTCACTACACGGTTGATTGGCGCAACACTGGTAACTTCGTTGGTGGAAAGGGTTGGAACCCTGGTACTGGCCGGTGAGTTGAAGATATTGTCGAGTTTGAGAAGAATGATTTGCTGATTACAGACTAGAACCATCAACTATGGCGGTTCTTTCAGCCCTCAGGGTAACGGCTACCTCTGCGTCTACGGCTGGACTCGCAGCCCTCTCGTTGAGTACTACGTACGTGCCCCATCTCCCCCCTCAACCCTCCACTAACAATATCTAGGTCATCGAGAATTACGGCACTTACAACCCCGGCTCTGCTGGCCAACACAAGGGCACCGTCTACAACGACGGCGATACCTACGATCTCTACCAGACCACCCGCTACCAGCAGCCCTCCATCGACGGCATCCAGACCTTCAACCAGTACTGGGCCATCCGCCGCAACAAGCGTAGCAGCGGCGCTGTCAACATGCAGACTATCTTCAATGCTTGGTCCTCGGCTGGTATGAGACTTGGAAACCACTACTACCAGATCCTGGCTACCGAGGGATACCAGAGCAGTGGATCTTCGTCTATCTATGTCCAGACTAAGTAAGACTTTGACTGAACTGCCTGTGAGAGGTTGCTAGCCTCGAGCAACGGGAGTTGGATCTCTCTCTGGCATGGTTTGGGGGTGATACAGTGAAGATGGCGGATGTGAAAATTTTGAAGAAGGCTTGACATGGTGTCAATTGATAGGGAGCTTTACTTTTCAACGCGGGACATTTCTTCTTTGGAATCATGTCTTGTCATTCTCTAGTACATAAGTTTGATCTGATCAATATTACATATCGTGAACTACCTCCAAGCTCAGTGAATCATTAATCATGTTCTATAACCAATCTTCATACCTTTATCCACCGTAACTTACGTCCCTCGTTCTGGCTCTCGGTAGAACTCTCAGCTCAACATCATTGGCATCCTTGAACCCTTTTGTATCATCCAAAGACCCAACGACGGTCTGGTCTATCGACGAGTATCTCGCATGGCTGCCTGACGAGGATGGCCACGCCTCGCTGCCTCGCTGCTTAGAGTGAAAGCATATCGTTCGGTTACCAAACCCGGAATGTTTCCTGCCTGAGTCCCAGCTGTTGCTCTCTCGACTTTGTTCTTGGGACA